TGTTTGGTAATTGAAGTATGAATGTCCCATGAAGGGAAAGCAGGTATAAAGGTTAGTTCTTCTTTGAACTCAGTTATGAAAGGTGAATTACTTAGATTGTAATGATGCTATACCTAATGTGTTGTTGTGGTGTTGATGACCTAGTTTCCTCATCCTTAACCCTCTACACTTGAATTAGCTATGAAGTATGTATGTATGTATGTTATGGTATGATTGCTATATGATTGAAAGGTAGTTCTCATGATTGTAGTGTAATGTAAAGTGAAAGGTTTACTCACTTGCTAAGTGTTTTTAAAGTGAAAGGATTGTTACTCACTTATGAACACATATGAGCTATTATGGTAAGATGTCTACATAAGAGTCTAGTAAAGGCTAATGTGAATTTATGTGATGACTAAAGATGATTACTAAAGGGAATTAGATGCTGAGCATCGAAAGGGCATGTAAATGAGATGGGGGTCTCACGTTTAGTAAGTCTGGCTCCCCACATGGGTTTCCTTACATTTAGCAAGTCCGAATTAGCTACGGTATGTGTTGTCTCATAAGATGGAAACCCCTACGTTTAGTAAGTTAGGGTTTCTAGAAGCAATCTCCTTGACCCTTAACTATGTGCCCACATAGGACTCTAGCTTAGTGGATCCACCTAGATAGCTATTTACGAATAGTTACACCTTAGGCAAGTGTTAACCCTCTCTTTTTGGTGTGGGAGTAGAACACCGGATTCCATATAGCTCTCATGGTCTATGTTGGTTATTGCAATATTTCCCTAATGTAAAAGTAAATGAAGGTATGAAAGGTGTGAACTCTTACTAGGGCTTTCTTAAGGGTTTCTACATAGTGTAAGAGAGGGTATGGGACTTCTCTTGCACATTGCAGTTGTGGGATCCTAAGAGATGGTTGTAGTAGTGTTCTCTTATGATTTTGAAGATTATGACTTATGTATGTTGAAGCTATGCTATGTATGATCATTATGAATATGGTAAGTTATGATGAAATATGATCTTATGAATGTATGCATGAAGTAGGTTGCTTAATGTGATACTTGGCTTTGAATAGGGTTATGGGGTTCTATTCTTTGCATTGCACTAGTATTACTTGGGTTGTCTACATGTTGGGATGATATTATGTTGGTTTGGATTATGATACTTAAATGTGTGCATATTGGATTTACTTAGCAAAAAGCATGTTTTGAATAAAATGTCCTTTTATGCATGTTTCAATGGTTTTTATGCATAGTAGCCATACATAGTACGTGTGTTGTACTAACCCATATTTTCTCCCTTTTCCCCAAACATTTACGTTCGGGCCGTTGAGGATTCAAGCTTACTTCTCAAGACACTTAGAGTTGCAAACAGTTAGCTTCGGGCCGTTGAGGATTCAAGCTTACTTCTCAAGACACTTGGAGTTGCTTCCCCAAGTTGGTGAGTTCTCAAGTCCGAGGACAAGACCCTATGATCTAGCTTCTATGTTTAGTTCTTTGCTTATGTTGAAAGACATTGTTGTACAAACTATTTGCAAGACTTCTTATTGATGTAAGGGCTAAGTTCCATTTTCGATACTTCTATGTCTAGATGGTGCATTGTGACAAAGTTAGATTCTTTTTTTCTATATATGAAGTGAAAGTTGAACTTCCGAAGTAAAAGTTTTAAAATTTTCCGTGATTTTTATTCTATGATACATGTTATGATGAATACTAAGGGCTTGTATAAGACCTCTTCGAGGTAGAATACGCCGGTAACGACTAGGGGGGTGCTCTCGGATCGTTACAGTAAAATCACTTTGAATTGACTCTAGGGGTGAAAGCTACCCCTAGATGAAGGATCACCATACCTTACTTGTGATTATCCAAGAAATTTGAAGAAGAAACGCCTCGAATCCACAACCCTAGCTCCCACTTCTTCTTCTTCTTCTTTGGGAACTTCTAGAGAGAGAATTTTTTAAAGGAGGAACTCTTTGATTTGATTTGGGGAAATAAGGAGTAAATGACTTGTTTAAACACTTAAAACTATATACACTAGTGATATAAAACAATTAAAATCAACCTCACACATTAATTAATTAAAATGAAATTACTCAAACACCCTCAACTTAAGGCAGCCCGTCAGGGACCACGCCCACTTGGACGGGTTGTGAGGGGCACCACGGGTCGTGGTGGTGCCCGTGGTCCCCTAGGCAGTATACTCCTCCATCTTGCCAAGCCCTCTAAGGCTTAAAGCAAGTCCACCAGACCTCCCACCATCCGTGGTCAAGACTATGAGTCATGGTGATGGTCGTGGTCATGGAGGCAGTAGGTTGGCCAAGTTGCCTTGCTTGCCTTGCCACCAGTTGACCTTGACGTCCAATTTGATGGACCGTCTAGGGCACCACGGCTCATGGTGGTGCCCATGGTCTTTGGAGCAGTAGCTCCCTCATCAAGACACAACCCTCTTAAAGTTAAGGCAACTCCATGAGCCTTCCCATGGCCCGTGGTCAAGACCACTAGCCATGAAGTGGCTCGTGAAGGGGTGCCTTGGCTCTACACCTATTTAGGGCATACTGCATAGCCAACCACGACTCGTGGTGGCCACCGAGGGTCATGAAGACCCTCGTGGTCTAGGAAGGCAGTAGCTAGGCCTAGTTTTAGGTATCCTAGGTTCCGAAACCATGGACTACACCCAAAACCTTTAGCCCTTGCCCTAAACTCATGACGTTAAGCCTCACGTTTAGGTTTAACCTATTATTTTCCGAGTCGTTACATTATCCCCCACTTAGGAACATTCGTCCTCGAATGACACTTTAAACACTTTAAGGGAAATCCGACTCAAGACTAGCAGCCCATCATGCATGACACATCAATATACGTCACACAACCATAGGAGGAAATATCAACTCCACATCATCAAGCTCAATGCAAATACAAGAAAGTAGGAACTAATTCTACAAACTCATTATGCACCAAAACATCAACATTTTACCATTTCATTGGAGGAACTTCCTTCTCCAACTCACATCATGCTCATTACAACATCATAAGGCAATTATGCAACTCTTTCCGAAAACACATTTAAACATATTGAATCAAGTCAAGTCGTGAAGTATTTAGGCAACTCATTATAGATGCATATCAACATGAGGAACACAATCATGAAACTCATTTTCTCATTTATACATAAATTTCATCAAAACATGCATATCATAAGGAGTCCATGGAAACTCATAATCACAAATGACTCCAAAACATGAAACAAGCTACAAGGAACTCTTGGTCTCAAGCTTGAATAGGAATAGAAAAAAGTGACAAGGATATCCAAACTCACCACAACCTAC